AAAGCATCCCAGAACATCTTTTCCTCTTATTCTTATTATAAGTGAAGCTCATAGTATTGAAGATTTTGATGAATATGTTGGCAAAGACAGTTTTCAAAGTTTAAATTTGCGTTCAATCCTTCCAAATGATATCATATCATCAAACCAATGTACAACTATAGAGTTTCTACCAATTAACAATACACAAATGGAGAGGGGTCTTAAATTATTTATTAATAAGGTTTATGTCAATGATTTCGATAAAAAAGACGATGCCCTACAATTATGTCCACTTCTAGCTAAACAATGTCACGGTGATATACGCTTGGCCATCAATACTCTTCAATTTTTAATGGTTGAAGATCCTATCAAAAATCTTGGAGGTGCCCGAGCAAACTCTCATAAAAAACTTGGCAAAGGAACTCAAGGGACACGAAAACGAAGAATCACAATGACTCTGGATTCAACTTTGTAATGCCACCTTTTGATTGAAACATTTTTAGAGTGAATTGAGTTCTTCAACGATAAATATTCATATATTGAAATATTAAACAGACGGACACTATTTGACTCAGTTACGTACAATGAACTTATAACCGATCCATTTAGAGCAATCGGAAGAATTCTTTACAACAAGAGTACGCATTTTTATAACCAGATTCATGAAATTAAAGCTTAATTATAATTTATTGATAATCTCCTTTTTTTTTTTTTGTACAATAGGAACAGAGGATTCTAATGATGAGGTGCATAAAGAAATTCAACAAAAAATTAACTCGCTTCAAGAAAAGTTAGTACACCCGCGCGAGATCCGTGAGCGGATGCCGTTAATGTATACACCTGAATCAACATTAGATAATATGTGCACGGAGTATCACACTTATTTGTGTATGCTGCGAAACTATTATCCACATTTTTACGGAAACATTTTGGAATGTCAATTCGCATCGGAATGCTTAAGTGACGCGGAACTGCTGATGAATAATCAAGATTTTAGAGTAAGGAAAACATTTAATATTTTACTTTAATATTCAATAATAAAAGAAAACTGTAATATATGTGTAGGTCGGGATAAAGCTGACGCCAACTGCTGCGATCATTGCATCACGTGGCTTGCTATTTGCGCATATACAATGTCTTGACAAAAAAAAGCCTGTATTTAATAAGATACCATCGTTAAAAGATTTCCGGGAGGAGCGTTTTAAAAATGAAGCCAACTTCCAATATTTTCTAAGGGAACCAACGCGACGATTAACATGCAATGACACTTGGAAAAGTGAGATGGTCCCACTTATGGGTAAAATGGTCCATGGTCTTCAAATGGATAATCCAAGAAAGCGGTTTCTTGAAGAAATTGTTTCATATGATAAAAGTTGTTTTTAAAATTAGTAACTATGTTACTGACTTTTTTAAACTGCGAATCAAAGATTGAAAAATACTCATATTATGACATAAATACGGTAATCAATTCCGCCCTTTTTAAGCAAAATTATGCCGATTTACCGTCTTTAAATCTCGCGGTTTTATTTATGAAGGAGTTTATTGGTTAAAATTACCATTAAAATATAGATAATTGAACTGTATAGGTTTTTTTTTTTATCGCATTCGAATTCTAAATTGGTGGGATAACTTATCAGTTTTACTAATTTTACTAGTATAATGCTTTTGCTTTCAAACATTTCTAAAGCTAATGCTTTTATAGAAATTGATGTAACTTTTAATAAAAGCACAAATATTGTGTACTTGACATTTTGTTTTTAAAATTCAGTTTTTTTTTGTGTTGTGTCTCAACTCATACAGGAGGTTACCAAAATTCTGGTCGGAATGTATCAAATTCTGGTCGGATGTATTGGAATTGATTAATTTTGCCCAAGATCACTAAAAATTTTACTAATGAAGACGTAGCCCATTCATTAAGTAAAAATTCCCAGCTGATATAAATTATGTTGGCTAATATAGGTAATCTCATATATTCTATTAATATAACAAGTAAAACAATTTTATAAATAATAATTTATTTAATTAATATTATTTTTAAACCAACTTTTAAAAAAATATATATATTATCATTTTTGAAGATTAAAAAAAAAGTATATAATAATAGGTTTTATTTTTATACCCTAAATTTATTATTTATACCCCTTGCAGATTTAATTTTTTTTAAATTTGAGTAAAAATATCCCAGCAATCATTAATTCAAATTTGATAAACTTTTTTTTTGAATTCTACAGCTTTATAAAATTTAAATAAAAAAAAGTTCATTGAATTTGGCCTAACAGTTACTGAGATATCTTCACTCAAAGTTTAAAAAAAATCAAAATATCTATTAAACAAATTAAGTAAAATTTTTTTCAACTTTGAGCAAAAATATCTCAACAACTATCAAGTTAAATTTGATGAATTGTTTTTTGTTTGAATTCTATAAATCTATAAAATTCAAATAAAAAAGTTTATCAAATTTGACTTGGTAGTTATTGAAATATCTTCACTCAAAGTTTCAAAAAAATTTAAAATATTTATTAAACTATAATAAAAGTTGTATTATAATTTTTTCTAAACTTTGAGTAAAAATATCTTAACAACTATCAAGCCAAATTTGATATTTTGTTTATTTAAATTTTATAAATTCATAAAATTCAAATAAAAAAAATTATTAAATTTGATTTGGTGATTATTAAGATACTTTTACTTAAAATTTAGAAAAAATTGTAGTATAGCTTCTGTTTTGATAAATATTTTAAATTTTTTTAAAATTTTGAATGAAGATATTTCAGTAATTGCCTAGTTAAATTTAATAACTTTTTTTTATTTGAATTCTATAGATTTATAAAATTAAAACAAAAAAAAATTTATCAAATTTGGTTTAGTAATTGTTAAAATATCTTCATTTAAAGTTTAAAAAATTTTATAAAATTATTTTAATAAATATTTTATAGACAAATCATAAGTAATCTAAACAAATATTTTTTTATATATAAATTTTACTTTTTTTTTTTTTTTTTTTTAGTATTAAGGTAAGGTTTTGCCTCATATTTTTATTAGATATATCAAGTATTTGCCTTATATAGCTATATATAATTTTAAGAATACAGGCTTAGATAATTTTATTTATGATCTAAACCTATCAGAGTATGTTACGTTCCTATCATGTATTAGATTATATTTGGATTTGGTGTTCAAACTATATCTAGTTATCTACCATATTCACCTATATCTTACCATCAAACCTTGGTAACTTCTAAATTGGTTTATTCAGGTAATAGGTCCTTAATAGCCTCCCAATTTGGTATGTCTATTATTCAAAGTATTTTTTAAACTGGTATACTCCTTCTAATAGGTGGTCTCTCATTTATGTTTCTTAAGCCAAGTATCTGTTGTCACTACTAGTCTCACATAAGAAGCATTGATATTATATATTAGAAAGAGAACTTATTATGGGTTTGTACTGACTAATACTGGCTTGCATTCCTTTATGCAACTTATATTACATAAATGACCCAAATCTTTCACTTGTTTTTTCAGGTATACTAGCCTTGTATCTTAAGCCAGGCCCCTGCTACTGCTGCTCAGTTTGCTATCCCCAGGTTTCAATATTTCCTAAGTTATCTGATGCAGTGTACTGCTTATTACTCTCTTAAGTATTCCTTATATAGTATTCGTCAGGATTATGATTCGTAAAGATCTCTTGAGTTGTACTGCAACTACAAGGCTACACACTTCCAACTATTAGCTATTTTCGTAATTCTGCTTTAATAATCTATCTTGTTAAAGATCAGCTTAACGTCACGAAATTACTTAAGTAGTAAACTAAATCACTTTTAGCTAGCTATTTCTAGTTGATGTCGTATTAGTGTTAGTAAATCCTAACTTTTTTTCATTTTAGACTTCTATATAGATGTGACTAGAGTTTTGAATTGATACCTTTAGACATACAGGGGTAGGTTACATTCTCTATATCGAGTAGCTTTCTATAGTCATTCTATTGTACCAGAGGTGCTTCTAATTCTAGTTAAGATATGATTCTTTACTACAACCTATAGTTGTGTATTACTACTTCTCTCACTACTCCAGTTTTTAGTAGTATAGTATTATCCTTCCAAGCAAGTACCCAATGCCATTCCACATTAAGACTTATATGCACAATCTATTAATCATCCTTCCAAGCAAGTACCCACAAGTTGGATATAGAGATGTTGGTATTGCTAAATATAAAGGTGATAGGATGTTGGTATTGCCTCTGAATCACTTCAACCAGAGAACTTACACACACGATCTTTTATCGCCTAGACCTTCTGTGATACTGCTATCACATGTAGTACCTTCACTTCACAACCTGGTATTTTTTCAGAAACTTTTTATTCTGGTTTTGTATTGTACTTGAACTTTTCACAGGGTTTCATATCTGATTATAGTCTTCGTAGATTACAGAAACAAATTTTATTAAAATTTGCCTCTAGCCTGACTCGAACTATTAATCTAGTCTGTGGGTTTAGAAGCTTAACCAATAAGCTATGGGACCCAAACTCTATATAAATTTTACTATAAGCTTAAAGTATAGTATTTTATTTAAAATTTTTTGGTTTATTAAGTAAATCACTCAAGACTTATTAAGATATATTTAATAGTAGTATAAATATTAAAATTGGTCTAGTTGTTCTTGAAAAATCTTTAAAAAATTTCTTGCTTACATATAAAATTTCTTTAAAAAAATTAATTTTTTAAAAAAATTTTATATATAAGCAAGAAATTTTTTAAAGATTTCTTAAAAGGACCAACACTTATTAGTTGATTATATTCTTTTCTGAAAATATATTAATTAACTATTCTGGGATACCCAAAGTTAGTTATTAAATAATTTTAAATTTTAATATAATCTATAATATAAATTTATAAATATTGTATTTTTATATACTTTTTATATATTTGTATATACCTTTATATAATTATACATATTTAAGGACGTGACAAAAATCAGGTGATTTTTTAGGGGAGAAGGGGGTAAAAAAATTAAAATTATATATAAGAACCTGATTTTTTTTTATATTAAAAGGGGAGGGGGTAAGCCTCTGATAAAAAATAATCAGGTAATAAATGATACTGCCCTTATACATAATCATACATAGTTATATATAATTATATAAAAGGTATATACAAATATGTAAGAAGTACATAAAAATACAATATTTATAAATTTATATTATAGATTATATTAAAATTTAAAATTATTTAATAACTAATTCTGAGTACTTCAGAATAGTTAATTAACATATTTTTAGAAGAAATATAATTAGCTGATAAGTGTTAGTTCCCTAAGAACTACCAAGCTAATTTTAATATTTTTATTATTATTAAATATGTTTTGATAAGTTTTACAACTTTTGTTACAAGCTCAAAAGACAAATACAAGATGTAGATGAAATTTTTCAGATCACATAACAACCTGATCTCTAATCTATATGATTATGTGATCACTTATTTGGCAATAATATAAACTTCTAAAGAGAAAATAGCTAATTGCAAAATACAAATTTTAACTATTCCAGATCTGCCTAACAAAGAATCCTAATACATACACAAAAATAAAAATAAAAAAAGCAAAACTAATGCATTGATCTTGATATACTAATTAAAAATAATGTCAATGAAATTTTATATATAGTAAATATTATTCTAATCTGATAGTCTTTAATATTAAGACTCTAAC